GACCACAGCTGCAGGGCCGGGTTGAAACAAATTTTGATGCAACCATCCCTGAAGCACCCGTGATACCCCGCTGGCCCGGCAATGCTCCAACACAACCCCGGCGATGCTTTGTTGCAGTACAGGCGATTCTCCGGCAGACCGCAGATGCTCCATTTGCAGCAACGAGGATGTTCCGACGGCCCCAACGATGCTCCATCGCGTCATCGGTGATGCTCCGACGGCCCAAAGACGCTCCATAAGAACACCGGTGATGCTCCACAAAGCTCATAGAAGCATGCCTCGTTGCATGGCTACAGTCATGGGCGCCGTCATGGCACGCCTTATTGTCGTGGTCGTCAAAGCATTTCCACACTCATCAACATCATCGCAGTCGTCGAAGCATCGCCACAAACATTTTGCATGGACATGGTCATCAACACCGTCATAGCATGCTTTGTCGCCCTAGTTGTTGAAGCGTTGTCGTGGCCGTCGAAGTATCGTTCTGTTGGAAGCATTGGCACGGCCATTGCAGCACAACTATCGTCGTGGCCATGGATGCATTGCCACGGCATTGAAGCACACCCGTCGTCATGGTCGTCGAAGCACCTTCGCAGTCATCGACGTCTTTGTGGTTGTCAAAGTATCGCCATGACCATTGAAGCATGCCTCATTGCAAGGGCTCGGTCGCTAGCGCCGTCATGTTATGGCTCGTCGCCCTAGCCGTTCAAGCATTGTCGTCGCTGTCCAAGTCATCATGGTCATGGAAGCATTGTCACGGCCATTGAAGCACGCCCGTCGTGGTGGTCGTCGCAATTACGCAGTCATCGATGTCGTCGAAGCGTAGTCACGGCCATTTAAGAATTCCTCGTTGCATGGCCGAGGTCGTCAACACCGTCGTGGCATGCCTCGTCACCCTGGTCATTGAAGCATAGCCGTGGCCGTCGAAGTCGTCATTGTCAGGGAGGCGGCCATTGAAGACCATGCTGCAATGTCGTGCTTCGACGGCCGCTTCGACGGCTGCAGCGACATTGCGTTGGAGGCCTGACTGCTTCGATGTTGCTGCGAGGCCGTGCTTCGGCGACCACAGCAATGCTGCCACGGCGACCCGGCTGGTTCTGTGATGTTGCGACGGGCGTGCTTTGACGTCCTTCGACTGTTGTGGCGACGACGTGCTTCATGGTCACGGTGACGCTGACAAGGCGGCCCAACTGGTTCAATGATGTTGCGATGGGCGTGCTTTTTTGTGCTTCGACTGCTACGGCGATGACGTGCTCCACACGACGGCGACACTAACATGGTGGCTAGACTACTTTGATGATGTTGCAATGCCGCGATGGCCTATTTCAATGTCCACCGCGACGCTTTGGCGGTGGTGCGATTGATTCAATGATGTGGCGACGGCATACTTCGCGGCCACAACAACGCGACGAGCGGCTAAGACGCTGGCCGGGGCTCGGCAGGCGTTAGTTCCGGTTCGAATGGGACCTTTAGTCTCGGTTCCAGACACCAATCGGGACTAAAGGGGTCGATAACCTTTAGTCCCGGTTGGTGTCTCCAACCGGGACTAAAGGTCTCTTTTAAGTCCCTCTTTTAGACCCCAACCGGGACTAAAAATTTGCCTTTATATATCTCGCCCCTGCTCGCCCTGTCCTCTGTTTTTCCATCATAGAAGGTGGGAGGTGTGTGTGCTAGTTTGTTTTCCCTTCGTATGCACAAAAGGTGTTCGATGAAATCCATGTGAGCATGATGCCACTTGTGTTCACAAAACAAACATGAAATGAGGTCCCCGAGCCACACTTATGTTTTCTCCTCTTTCTTGCCCGAGCGACACAATCCATTCTTCTCCTTTGTTCTTCCTCCAAACTTGACCTCCAAGCTCCAATTTTCCCAAGATTTATCTAGATTTGGCGGTGCACCAACTATCCAAGTGTTCTAAAAAGTTAGCAAGTTCATCCTTTCATCTCTCATTGCTAGTTTAGCTCATTTCATGCTGTACTATATATTTTTCTAGTGAAAATATTTGTTTCACATAAGAAAATGTGAAGCGTTTAAATTTAAACATGTTCTAAATATATCCAAGATTGGCCTAGTTCTAAAGATATTCGTTCCAAAAGTTCCGATATATAAATTATTAAAAAAACTAACATATGGCTTCGAAAATATGAATGATTTAATTTAGCCAAGACAGAATAAAAGGTTCAATTTATTGTGTGAGATGAGAGTGGGGATGTGG